GATTTGCCTCTGAGCAGCAGAGAGGAGAGCAGCCCAGATGTCAGTAATTGTGGGAGATGCCGGGCTGCAGGAAAGGGTGTTGTAATGGGAACAATTGTGCTACCTTGACAACAGTATTTGCGACTGACTAACCCTCTAACATGAGCAACATATGAAAGTTAGCGTTGCTGTAATAATTGTCCCAGGAGTCCAAACTTCTGCATGTAAAATCTCAACTATAAGGTTATCTTAATGTACTTTTTTCATTTCCTGCGGGGAGGGATTATGTGAATGGGGAAGTGTGTGCATATTTCTACTTATGCATGTAAAGTGAGATTCAAGCACGTGCACTGAGTTTATATGAACATCTTAATACACGCAAGATCACATTTATACAAACTTGTTTTAATATACACGTAAATCAAGTAGAACTTTTAAAATTAAACCTTTTTTATTTTTTCCAGAATAAAGGTATTTGAACTAAGGATAAAGTTTCAAAAATGTGTCTTGTATTTTTGTACCCACAAAGTGATTTATAGGTGTCAATTAGAGTACCAGCCTCTCTATCTGATTCACAACCACAAATCAACTGCACGTGTAAAACACCAGTGTAAACTTCACCCACAAAGACAGACAGACAGCCATCCTTTTGAAAATCTGGGTATTATGGGTGAAAAATATAAATTTTTCATACGCAAAGTGGCTGATGGAATTTTAGTCCAACTAAATTCAATTCAAGGCTCAGAATCAATACATCTCCTCAACTATCTAGTGTCACTTTTGTGATGTATTCTGACATGACTGCCTGGTAATTGGCACATACACAGAATTTTAAAAAAAGAGTACTGTCTCTCCACTATGTGTTTAAAAGCCATCTTCAAAATGCTGATCCCTTTGCTTGTTTCTGCCTTCTGGCTCTCTCATTTCTACATATAATCATGCTGCCTCAATATTTTTGGATTATATCAAAGAAGTAGCAGGATAGCAAGTACTGTTATACCATCGGTAGTTAAGAACGTGATCAGCCTTTGTTATAAATCCCAATGCTTAGAAGTTTATAATGAAAACCAGCTAAGACAAACCCTCCACAGAAGATCTTAGAATGGAAATGAAGTACAAAGTTTTAATCAGATATTTCAGTCTGAGGGTTAGATACTGTACATGCACATTAAGTGTTTTCAGTTTCAAAAGGATTTTACTATAAATGCATACCAGCCAGTCTGATACCAAAGAACGCTAACAAGCCATTACAATATTCCATGTTAAGTATCCAATTTAACCCCTTACTGCTGATTTAAATAAACCATAATTAGTTGATTAGGACATTCCCTAAAGCGATACAGTGCTGTTAAAGAGTGACAAAATGCAGAAGTATGCAATATCTTGCCTCAGCCACGAAGGTAACATTTAAAATCTTGTAGCAAAGGTGTACTTAAAATAAACGCATATTCAAAAATACTTTTTAAACATATTAGTGTCCCCCTTAAAAAGTATTAAGGTACATCTGGGAAATTGTATTCCTGTGGCAATGTGGCTAGCTACAGTAATAATTAACTCCTTACCATGTACATTTTTAAGGCATAAATGTACATATCCATGAATATGCAGTTATACTATATCACCCAAAAACACAAGAGGGAAAAGGTCTGGTCTTTATATGATTTATAATCTTACAAAGATGGATATATTTCTTCAAATAGTAAAGAGTGAAAATGTCAAACTACATTTAAAATATGATGGTGACAAGAAAATCACAGAATGAAATCTTAAGGCTATGAAGTATATTTTCTCAATGAATATATAAATCCTACTAGTTCTAACAGTGAGATATTTACATACCTCTCTCAGAGAGAAAATATAATCTTAAACATTTGATTACTGTCACTTTCTCTCCACAAGCACATTAGCTAAAACTAAAGAGTCAACCTTACCTTAACATTTAAATGTAACTCTTTAAAACTGTATATGGACATACATATCCCAGAAAAGTCAATATGCACAAAATAAATCTGAAAAAAATAGGCCAAAAATCAGTAAAAGGAAGGTGGTCTATAAAGGAAAGCAAGGTTCTTAAGCCTTCATGTACTCCTTTAAGTCTACAATTCACTGAATAAAGTGTTCTACAATGGAAGACATAAAAAAGGTGTATAAATAACAGTCAATGGAAATTAAAGCAGTTATGATAGTTAGGCAAATGGATATATAGCAATAGAAATTAAAAAAAACTGCATTAGAAGTAAACGTAACTGAAAGGAGCTTTTTCTTGGAATTATCCATTCTGAAGCCGTGCATGTTTTTATATGCTGAGAAAACTTTCACTTCTAAAAACATGCATTTTGACTTTTACAATTATAAATAAAATAGACTTACTGTTACACCTCTGTGAAAGCATTAATGAAATCAAGAAAATAAGAAAAATACGTGTCTTCAAACCAGGGCATATCTTTTGGGCAAGTATATTAAGTTCTTATTAATTCCCCCATTTACAGCAGGCTCTATTATAGGGCAACTGACACTGGTCGTGCCAAGTTCAATTTGAAACTTCTACTAGACTTCAATTTTTAAAAGACCAACCAACTAACCAAGATTTTAAGGACTGAGCTGAAGACCACAGTTTATCCAGGATATTTTAGCAATATCAAACCTTCAGATCTGCTTCTGGTTAAAATAAATAGCATGTTGATGGTTCTGAATAAGTCCACTTATCCACTCTGTTGCAGAGGACACATCACAAAAACAGCAGAAGGAGAGAAAAGATTAAAACCCTAGAAATCTTGTACACAGGGTTTTAAATGATGCACTTCATTTAGAAAAGAGTACAGGTTTTTCATCAAAACTTTTGTGAGTTGAAAGCAACATTCACATTCTAGCTATTTTATAAAGTCCTATTGAATGTTTCCAATTTTTTTTAATTAAACCCAGCAGAGATATTGTTTGGAGCCCAGTGTAAGTTAAAGTATATTCATGCTTCTCTAAATTTTGTATGCACTGCCATCTAGAGGTTACAAATCAAAGAGTAAGCATTTTTAAGGGAAAAAACAGGAGACTTGCCTATAACTGGAGTGAGACAAGATTGCCAGAGATCCACATATTTGGGGCATGCATGTGCACCCCACATTTTTTGCCAGAAGTTTCTAGAGGGTTCTGGCCACGAGGGTCACATGTATGCTTCCTCACTGTTTCAAGCTCTTAGGCCCAAAGCCTCAGCCTTGTCCCTCCAATCCTTCCATTACCTAGACTCCACAGAAGTAGAAACACAGCATGGGTCCTACAGATCTGTGAAGGCAATCATGCAAAGAACCTCATTCACAGATGGGTAGCCTGTTTTCCTTCATTAAATACTGTCTTCACAGAGCCACACTTGGAGGTTGGCAAGCAGTAATACTGGCCCTGACGAGGACATAACTAAATAAAAATATAATGAGTCTTCCAAATTCGTTAACAAAACTAGAAGACATATACAGAGGTTAATGCTTCTTAGTTATGGACAGAGCTCCAGGTAGCAGCTCTATTATCTATTAAAGGGATGTTTCTGAGACAAAATATGGTAGTTGCCTTAAAGCTAGTAGAATGTGCCCTAAACCCCTTGAGAGCGAAGATCCAGTGCAAGATCATAAGAAGTTTGGAAACGAAGTGATAACACTGTGTGTCTGTCTTCACTAAAACAGTTAGCTCAAGTTATTACACTCAAGCTAACATAGTTCAAGTCAGAGCTGCCACACTGTGGCATAATACTTAAACTACACAGAGTGATTGGATTGGCATCTAACAAGTTGTGCTAACTCAAGCTTGTAGCCTGTAGCTGCATCCCCAAGCTCAAGCCTCAGCATTATATGAGCTTCACAACCAATACCCTCTGAGGGTATGTTTACATTGCAGCCAGTAGTAAGCCTCCCAGCCAGGGTAGACCTATGCTAGTGGTGTCTGAGCTAGCACACTAAAAATAGCACTGTTGACATCACAGCTCCAGCAGCGACTTGGGCTACCCTCTCGAGCTCAGACTCAGGGAGTCAAGTGGACTTGAGAGCCCAAGCCATAACATTTATACTGCTATTTTCAGTATAACTCAAGCTCCAGTAGTTTCAGTCTATCTATCCACACTGGGAGGTTAGTTTCTAGCAGCAGTGTAAACATACCCTGATGGGTCAGCAAGCCTGAGTTTAAAAGCACCACTTAACTTGAGCTAGAGATTGTGTGTGTGGATGGGAATTGGGTTAGGAATAACATTTGAGATATATCTTGAGCTACACTACAGCAAAGACAAGCCCGATGTAAGTGGTAATTTGAACTTTGGATGACCCCCATAGGCTACAAACAACCTGGGGAACTCCCAATGGGTTTTTAAAGGAGGACACCCTTGGCTCCAGGAAAAGAAGGATTTAATTTTGCAACAGTACAAATTTACAAAAGTCAACTGCTAAATATATTAACTCCGTTAAGAACGACCATAAAACTACAAACAATGAAAGAAAAACATATAGCCATCTGAAATCTGCAGGAAGAAGCTACAGAGGTTTCAACTAGATGTTCCAGTTACTGGAAAAAAACAAGGGACAGGATGGGTACATAGCTCCTTACATAGCTTTGGGTCTGAATGATCATTACCTATTGAACACACATGAGGCAACCCACAGGCAAAAGCATTTTAGAAGGTTCTGATAAAGATACAGGATGTCCCTGACGCACTCGATCATGGATTTGTACAGGTAACAGTGCTCAAACTATTCCTTGCTTTTAACAGAAGATGAAATAGGAAATGGTGTTTCATTTTATTTCTTCACTATTGCCAAAAAAGTTTCTCATCTTTATGAAGAATCTTGTTGTTGTGGGTATTATTTTTTAAACACAGCTTTCTGTAAGTTACTTTTCAACCCATATAAGCTACATTACTGCAGTAAAATACAAACATCAATTGAAGCTTTATTTGCACCAAATAGAACTTGGCATTATTCTAAACGTTAGTAGATAAATCTAACAAAGTTACTGTTGTGTTTTATCTTCTATAAGTAATTCATACTTACAATGGTTCTTCCCTCTCAGTTCTCTTACTGACATGTAGATCTTCTTGTTCCTTCATTTTATCTACAGCTTGTGCTTGCTTTTCAATCTCATTAAAACTCTTGCTGCTCACTTTCTGGGCTCCCAAGCCACCTTTTTTGGCACCAAGCTTTATTTTAAAAAGAAAAGAAATGCTTTATCTCTATAGGTAACTATATTAACTGTCCTATGGTTTAGTTTTTTTTTGAAAGAAGAATCAAGCACTGTACCTGATTCCACAGAATCTGATATCAGTAATAAAAATTCAGAGTGGAGAAGACCATACAGCAATATGTTCCTAAATGCCGCTCTCGGCCTCCATTAGAAGGCCTTTGATATTCAGGAACTTCTTTAGTCTCCCAAACAGCAATTACAGCCTGATGAACCTCCTGCAGTTTGTCAGATCTTGTTACTATTCTGATATACTACTCTGTACTGAGTACTATAAAATATAAAGGAGCCTCAACTGCTATTGGGATAGGAGCCTAACTGCAATTTCGTATCTCTATATGCTTAATTTCTCAACCTTAACATTTCATTAATGTTAGTTTCTGCATTAAATTTATTTAATAAAAATAATAATATATGGAGATATATCTATCTCATAGAACTGGAAGGGACCTTGAAAGGTCATCAAGTCCAGTCCCCTGCCTTCACTAGCAGGACCAATTTTTTTGCCCCAGATCCATAAATGGCCCCCTCAAAGACTGAACTCACAACCCCGGGTTTAGCAGGCCAATGCTCAAACCACTGAGCTATCCCTCACTCCTGTATCCATTAAAAAAAAATCTCAAAGCACACAGGACAGAAGGCTTTTTATTTTATTGGGGGGGGGGGCGCACAACGGAGAAGGTAGCGCTATTTTTAACATAAAAATTCTGTCATAAAAAGTCTTAGGCCCTGCTCCTCTAATTCACTTAATGCAGAATGTACCTATGAGACAAAGAACAGCTCCACTCGCTTCAGTGCCAGTGCACTTGCATACAGTGATTTGCAGAATTGGGGGCAAATGTGAAATGTAATTGAATCCGTGAACATGATAAAATACATACACAAAGTAAATTCTGCTCTCGAGTACGTATACAAAATGTCTACTGAATTTAGTTAATTGCATATATATATATCTCCAAATTCAGTAAGTGCTCAGTATTATCATATGAAATCAGAAAATGACTTACGGATGATAAAGTACTCCACCTCACAATACTACTACTAATAAACATTTAAACAAATGCAGCCGAACAAGAGTTTAGAAGACAATTTTGTTTATAAGGTTGTTGGATATTTTGTCATAGTTCAGATTTTCTAATTTGTTTTAGTGATGCAAATCGTTGCTGATACAAAACAGTCAGGATATCTCAGGATAGATGGCTATTAGCCAGGATGAGCAGGAATGGTGTCCCTAGCCTCTTTTTGCCAGAAACTGGGATTGGGTGACAGGGCATGGATCAATTGATGATAACCTGTCTGTTCACTCCCTTTGGGGCACCTGCCATTGGCCACTGTCAGAGGACAGGATACTGGGCTTGATGGACCTTTGGTCTGACCCAGTGTGGCCATTCTCATGTTCTTAACAGTTATTGCATGAAACATTTAGATAAAAAAAATTCTGTATTGCAGTTTAAATACTTTTTAAATTCTACAAAATGATATGGGGCAAAATATATATTAATTACAGACTTACCCCCTTTTTAGCTTGATTTGGCTTCTTTTTCATAATGGAGGTGCCCTCTGCAAAGATTAACAATCATTACTTTGGCATATATAACTTTACATTTATCAATACTTGCAGATGCATATTTCCACAATTTAAGTCTTGAATTATAAGTTTGCAGTTCATTCTGCTGCTTTAGAATACTGCAGTTTCTACATGAAGAAATTTAGAAATTAGCTGTATTACTATACTTTAATGTATCTTGTTTTCCTGTTTGTTAGTGTTTACAATTTATGGCTAAATTTTCAAACCTGGGTGCCTAAAATCAGAATCCTAAATAGGAGCAAAGGATTTGTCAAACCAGATCAGACTGAAAATGGAGATATCCTATCTCCCAGAACTGGAAGGGACCTTGAAAGGTCAGAGTACAGCCCCCTGCCTTCACTAGCAGGACCAAATACGGATTTTGCGCCAGATCCCTAAGTGGCCCCCTCAAGGATTGAACTCACAACCCTGGGTTTAGCAGGCCAATGCTCAAACCACTGAACTATCCCTCCCAAGATTCACCTAGTTCAGTACCTTGTCTCTAACAGTGGCTAAACATATGTAACTCCTGTGGACATCATTGGATTTTGTGGATGCTCAACCTTTCTGAAAATTAGGTAATTTATAATCTATATTTAAACACTTACTTTTTAGAGTGCTAATTTAACTGTTTTTATTTAAGTGCATAAATATCGATTTAGGAATCTAACTTTAGGCACCTAAAGTTTGAAAATTACAACCGTAGTGTTTAATACTAAATTTTGAGGTGTGGAAATGAAGTGAAGTTATTTTTCATAATGTCTATCAAAATCCCTAATATAGAGATTTTTGTTAATATGACTTTAATAAAACAGTGAAGAAAATTTTGTAATCTTTCACAGTGACTGACACATTAAGCCAAAGCATATAACTTTCATAATAGGAATTTTAAAATTATTCTCACTATAATAATCCATAACGTCCAATGAATGTTTGTGTATACTGTGAAATTAGTTTAAGCTCTAAATTAGTTGGAAGCCATCTTACATGACAGAGAATTACAGGCAACAGGTGGTCTAGCAATGTTCAATATAACTGTAAAAGCATTCAGTTTATTTCTGTGGCACGTATTCCTTGAAATATGCAAAACATGTACCCTAAGGCATACTATTCTTCCTTAAACTTAATTAAGTACTAACAAATAATTTGTAAGTACGAACTGAAACTCACACTTTGAGCCAAGACTTCAAATCTCAGTATAATAATAGTACCTTCATAATAACTTGCATTTACTATAAGGACATTGGAGCTGGAGATGTAATTTGCAGCTTGTGTAGATATCTGAAACTCTAGGTATGTGCTCAGACCAGCTAGCCTGTCCTGCTGCTCATGCAACCATGGCTATGCTCCTATTTTTAGTGCACTAGTTCAATCAGCACTAATGCAGGTATGTCTAGCCGAGCTGGAAATTGTATCTCTAGCTCCAGTTATATGTACCCAAAGAGATTTTACTTTTGGAAGGTGTGCCATGTTTTATTACATAGTTGCTGTTTCAATGTTTTATTAGCTACATATATATCTCCAGCTCCAAATAATGCTGTGAAGATTCATTTAATAAAGTTATTTTTGCCTAGTATTTTTCTATGTGTAAAAATCTGCAGCACAATCTGCACCTCTCAATAATGAGGACACTCGGATATATTTGGATGGGAGAATGAATCTGACTTTCCTATACTCTAGACTAATTTCCAATTCATAAACAAACCCAACTTTAAAAATACTAGCCTGGATCATCCCTTCCTGGGGGTGGGGGTGAGGGGGGGGGTATTGTTTCTGCTGGGGGGATAAGTCACAAGAACAGCTCCTGCAAACGTGGCAGACTCAGTGTCCACAAGAGCCAGTCCAACCACACAAAACCTAGTGCCTCTGCACTAGCTCAAGCCTCCAGCATCCTCTTCTCTCTCTCCCTGGTAGCCTGGTCTGTATTATCTTTTTTGCCTAAGCTACATGAGGCCAGACAATGTGTATGCCTCTGGTTGGGTCCCATTCTTCCCCAGCCCTCTCAGCGTACACTTTCTCCCCACATGCACCCCAGAAATGCAGAGAGATTTTGAGAGAGAGAGAGAGAGAGAGAGAGATGGGAGTCGGGAGGTGAGGGGGATGACAAAGACCTGTGTATGGAGAGTCCTCTCCATGGGTAAACCTAGGAGGAATGGATTTGGGCTGGAATTTGTTTGAGTCACTTGCTCTTGTACTACAACTTTCCATTGCAATACACGTTTTCTGTAAACATGTACTGAAAGCAACTTTCCATTTCAAGATGGTCCATTTCAACTAGTAACTTTTCTGTTATTACTGACTTATTTAGCTTTTAAATTCCTTGGTACAGAGACTATGTCTTTATATTTGTGAAGTGCCATGTAAATCTAGCATTAAATTTTTTTATATAATAATAATAATTGCTCTACTCTTGACATCAGAATGCCATTTTCAGTCAGCATGAAGGGACAGACACTTTCCCCTATGTGAATACCATCATTTTTTTAATGAGATACTAAAATTATCATAAAGACTATAATATATTTCTGGGAATATTTTCTTTCATTTGTGGAAAACTTAATTTCTTACGTTTACCTCAGGTAGTTACCCTACAACTATTTAATTTATGCTGTAAGATACAGCTCTGCAATGTTGCTTAAATTATGAACTCTACATGCTAAAAATGTGTATTATTAATTTTTCTGCAATAAATTAGAAAATGGTTTTAAACTAAAAATTATTGATGGAAAGAGAGCAAAATTATGTTTAAGACAGACAGACAGATAGACAAGTCTATTAGTGAAACACGTGTTTGCTTAATGTAAATAGCAGGCCATGAATTACAGTACAATGCTCTATTCCACCTGTGTGCTTAAGTGTGGAACCTGAAGCAGCCCAACAGGAGGTCTAAAACATTAATGATCACCTTTGTTAGGTGCGATGCCTGCAGCATTTAAATTCAGCAACTCGGCTAAAATGAGAAATAAAAACAAAGAGCACTGAGTAAAAAATCACTTTTGAAGTGTCATACATTGTTTAACAGAAACAGCTGTATTAACATATTACATTACAAGTTAATCTGTTTCAGTTAGCCCATGTGTATAAATATTAAAATAAGACTTGCACATTTCTTCCCAACCCAACATTTTCTTTAACAACGTATACTGGAGTAAAATATATTGTTCATCTATCTGTTTAGGGCCATTACCTAATGCAGCTTTTGGTGAGACACTAAGGCAATCAACACTTGGTCCATGGTCTGGTTCACCTAAAAATGTAAAAAATATTGAGAACAGCAGAAGTATGTTTAGTAGGATGTTTTGAACAGCTCATGTATTCAGAGAATATTTTTTTTTTTAAGGTAATTTCCCTGCCCACAATCTTAAACCTGGTTCTCCCTTCATTTCCCTGTAATTTTCTGTATTTGCACAGAGACATGATAGTGCTTGATGCACAGTTAAAATTACATGTCTCCTGTAGTAACATTACCAGTGACTCTCAAAACAGCAGGTAGAAGGGGCATTTTAGTGATATTCAGATAATTTCTATGTGATTGTAACTGCTCAAAATTCCAGTGTCTGTCTTGTGCTACAAAACCTGAAAGTAGAAGCTTGAAATATGTTTGGAAGATACAGAAGTAAAAATTAGCAAATTCCAGGGACCAGAGGTTGAAAATTTTGGCTTATGTGTGTTATTTACAAGGATGTAACCAAATATGGGAAAAACAGAATGATACAAGGGGGAAAAATACATCTGAACAGAATTGGTTTTAAAAACCTATTTAAAACTGGCTCAACTTAACATGTTTTCCTTGGCCAGCAGGACATGGCATACTAATCCCTACCCTGTTTACAGCTCTCAGGCCTGGTCTACACTAGGAGTTTATCTCGAATTTAGCAGCGTTAAACCGAATTAACCCTGGACCTGTCCACACAACGAAGCCCTTTACTTCAATATAAAGGGCTCTTAATATCGATATCTGTACTCCTCCTCAACGAGGGGAGTAGCGCTGAAATCGGTATTGCCATTTCGGATTAGGGTTAGTGTGGCCGCAATTCGACGGTATCGGCCTCCGGGAGCTATCCCACAGTGCACCATTGTGACCTCTCTGGACAGCAATCTGAACTCGGATGCACTGGCCAAGTAGAAGGAAAAGCCCCGCGAACTTTTGAATTACATTTCCTGTTTGCCCAGCGTGCAGAGCACAGGTGACCATGCAGAGCTCATCAGCACAGGTAACCATGCAGTCCGAGAATCGAAAAAGAGCACCAGCATGGACCGTACGGGAGGTACTGGATCTGATCGCTATATGGGGAGAGGATTCAGTGCTAGCAGAACTACGTTCCAAAAGACGAAATGCCAAAACATTTGAAAAAAATCTCCAAGGGCATGATGGAGAGAGGCCACAATAGGGACTCACTACAGTGCCGTGTGAAAGTTAAGGAGCTCAGACAAGCCTATCGAAAAACAAAGGAGGCAAACGGTCACTCCGGGTCAGAGCCGCAGACATGCCGCTTCTACGCTGAGCTGCATGCAATTCTGGGGCGGGGGCAGCCACCACTACCCCACCTCTGATCGTGGATTCCGAGGCAGGGGTAATCTCAGCCATGCCTGAGGATTCTGCAGATGGGGAAGAGGAGGAGGAGGAGGATGACGACGAGCTTGCAGAGAGCACACAGCACTCCGTTCTCCCCAACAGCCAGGATCTTTTTCTCAGCCTGACTGAAGCACCCTCCCAACCCCCAGACAATGAGGCCATGGAAGGGACCTCAGGTGAGTGTATCTTTGTAAATATAAAACATGGTTTAAAAGCAAGCGTTTTTTAATGATTACTTTGCCCTGAGGACTTGGGATGCATTCACGGCCAGTGCAGCTACTGGAAAAGTCTGTTAACGTGTCTGGGGATGGAGCGGAAATCCTCCAGGGACATCTCCATGAAGCTCTCCTGGAGCTTTCCACAAGGTTTCTTGGCAGTGCAGCCTTATTCCGTCCTCCATGGTAGGACACTTGACCACGACATGCTAGTAGCAAGTAATCTGGTATCATTGCATGACAAAGCCTGGCAGCGTATCGTCCCGGTGTTTGCTGGCATTCAAGCAACATCCGTTCTTTATCTCGCTGTGTTATCCTCAGGAGTGTGATATCGTTCATGGTAACCTGGTTGAAATACGGGAATTTAATTAAGGGGACAGAGGTGGCCGTTCCTACTGGGCTGTTTGCCTGTGGCTGAAAAGAAATCCTTCCCTGCAGTTAGCCACGCGGTGGGGGGAGGGATAAAGCGAGCATCCCAGAGAACTGGATGGGGGGGGGGGGGGTTAGTTTGGTTTCTGCTGCTGCACGTTAACAGGAAAACCGCAGCACTCAACGGGCTTTGCTTAGTATGTGGGAAAGGAGGGCGCTGCTTGTAGGAAAGCTGCAGAAGCTGAAAGACAATGGCTTACCATGGCCGCATGCAAGCCGAATTCTGTTGCCCGGACCTGCGTCTGTGCTCTCGAACACCAAAGCCGCAGGCACTCAATATTAAGATGCAAAATGCAACCTTGTACCGAAATCACATGTGCTATGTAATGTGAATAGTGTTGTTCACCGTGAAAGAGTATAAGCATTGTTCTGTAAAATGTATCTTTTTAAATACTTCTCTCCCTTTTTTCCCTCCCTCCCGCAGCTGCAAATTTTTCAAGCCTCCCTCCTCCGTCCCGAAGACTATCTCAGATAAGGCGGCGAAAAAAGAGGATGTGAGACGAAATGTTCTCGGAAATCATGGAATCCACCCGCAATGAAAGAGCTCATCTGAATGAGTGGAAGGACACGGTATCAAAGTACAGGAAAGATGCCAGTGAACGTGAGGCCATGAGGGATGCTCGAGATGAGAGGTGGCAGGCTGCAACACTGGGGCTGCTGCGTGATCAAACGGACATGCTCCGGTGTCTGGTGCAGCTTCAGGAACGGCAGCAGGATCACAGAGTGCCGCTGCATAACCTCCCTCACCATGTTCCATAGCCTCCTCACCCAGACATGTAAGAACGCGGCGGGGGGTGGGGGGGAGGCTCTGTGCACCCTCCCACTCCAACCCAGTGGACAGCCCAACCAAAAGGCTGTCATTACATTGAACTTTTTTAGTGGTCTTTTCCTTCCCTTCTATCCTCCTCCCAAACCCCACCCAGGCTACCTTGTCAGTTCTCTCCCTCTTTTTATAATCAATTAATAAAGAATGCATGATTTTTAAATGATAGTGACTTTATTTCCTTTGAAAGCAAGCTGGGATCGAAGGGGGAGGGTGGGTTGCTTACAGAGAACGAGTCAATCAAGGGGGTGGGTTTTCATCAAGGAGAAACAAACAGAACTTTCACACGGTAGCCTGGCCAGTCATGAAACTGGTTTTCAAAGCTTCTCTGATGCGCAGCACTTCCTGGTGTGCTCTTCTAATCGCCCTGGTGTCTGGCTGCGCGTAATCAGCGGCCAGGCGATTTGCCTCAGCCTCCCACCCCGCCATAAAGGTCTCCCCCTTACTCTCTCAGAGATTGTGGAGCACACAGCAAGCAGCAATAACAATGGGAATATTGGTTTGGCTGAGGTCTGAGCGAGTCAGTAAAGTGCGCCAGCGACCTTTTAAATGTCCAAATGCACATTCTACCACCATTCTGCACTTGCTCAGCCTGTAGTTGAACACGTCCTGACTACTGTCCAGGCTGCCTGTGTATGGCTTCATGAGCCTTGGCATTAAGGGGTAGGCTGGGTCCCCAAGGATAACTATAGGCATTTCAACATCCCCAACTGTTATTTTCTGGTCTGCGAAGTAAGTCCCTTGCTGCAGCCGTTTAAACAGAGTAGTGTTCCTGAAGACGCGAGCGTCATGAACCCTTCCCGGCCATCCCACGTTGATGTTGGTGAAACCTCCCTTGTGATCCACCAGTGCTTGCAGCACCATTGAAAAGTACCCCTTGCGGTTTACGTACTGGCTGCCCTGGTGCTCCGGTGCCAAGATAGGGATATGGGTTCCATCTATCGCCCCACCAGTTAGGGAATCCCATTGCAGCAAAGCCATCCACTATGACCTGCATGTTTCCCAGAGTCACTACCTTTGGTAGCAGCAGCTCAGTGATTGCTTTGGCTACTTGCATCACAGCAGCCCCTACAGTAGATTTGCCCACTCCAAATTGATTCCCGACTGACCGGTAGCTGTCTGGCGTTGCAAGCTTCCACAGGGCTATCACCACTCGCTTCTCAACTGTGAGGGCGGCTCTCATCTTGGTATTCTGGCGCTTCAGGGCAGGGGAAAGCAAGTCACAAAGTTCCATGAAAGTGCCCTTACGCATGCGAAAGTTTCACAGCCACTGGGAATCGTCCCACACCTGCAACACTATGCGGTCCCACCAGTCTGTGCTTGTTTCCCGGGCCCAGAATCGGTGTTCCATGGCATGAACCTGCCCCATTAATAGCATGATCTCCAAAGCACCGGGGCCCGCGGTTTGATAGAATTCCATGTCCTCATCACTCTCGTCGCCGCGCTGCCGTAGCCTACTCCTCGTCGCCTGGTTTTGCAGGCTCTGGTTTAGCATAAATTGCACGATAACGCGCGAGGTGTTTACAATTTTCATGACTGCTGTCTTGAGCTGAGCGGGCTCCATGCTTGCCGCGGTATGGCGTCTGCACTGTTTACCCAGGAAAAAGGCACGAAACGGTTGTCTGCCGTTGCTTTCCTGGAGGGAGGGGGAAGATGTACCCAGAACCACCCGCGACAATGTTTTTGGCCCCATCAGGCATTGGGATCTCAACCCAGAATTCCAATGGGCGGAGGAGACTGCGGGAACTATGGGATAGCTACCCACAGTGCAACGCTCCGGAAATCGACACTAGCCCCGGTACATGGACGCACACCGCCGAATTAATGTGCTTAGTATGGCCGCATACATTCGACTTCATACAATCTGTTGCCAAAAACCGGTTTCTGTAAAATCGGAATAATCCCGTAGTGTAGACATACATTTTTTGTTTTCCTACTAAGGGTAATGCCTGGTTCACATAGACCAGACAAACTGAGTTAGCCTGAGCCACTTCTAAGTCTTATTTGAAGCCAGTTCTGCTAACAAGATTTAATTCTCAATATAAATAGGGCTTAAGTCTCTGGCTGAGTTACAGGTCATTGTCTGCATTCTTAAAATACATAATTCAGATTTGTAGTGTTACAGAAAACAAATCAATATACTTATTTACATAAGCAGAATAGTTTTCATGAGTTCACATACAAAACTATAATGAATGTTACTATTAACATTCTTATCCATATATTTCACTTAACAAATGTGAAATAAAATAAAATCCTAGACAATTAAGCTGCTACTTGATTTATGAGAAAAAGCCCTTGAGTAACCTAGCAACACCAAATTTTAATCTATTAGTAACCTATGAACTGCTAACTAATAATAAAATATCTTTAAAAGTTTAAATACATTATTAAAATGACTTTCTGGTGTAAGACTTGCATTATGTTTTCAGTAATTCCCAATGTGACCAAGTCTAATGGATCATTCAAAGAGTAAAATCTGGCCCAAAGGGTTTCAAATTAAATTTAAGTGTCTCTAACAACACATGCAGTCCTGTACAGCACGGCATGACCCCTCTACACAGTGTTCCCTACCTACCCAAAGGCTTCTTAAAATATTGCCAGCAGAACAGAATTACATGGTGCGTAACTGTTACTGTTATAATAAGTAGCATTAAAAACTAAAATCAACACAGAGGTGAACTTAGTTTATTGTTAATGGAGTGAGGATGAGCCATACCTTCATTAGATTCTGGAATGATTTCTGAAGAACCCTCCTTTTGAAAAACTGGCTCCGGTTCTGATGATGCCCATTCTGTGCTACTCACCTGCAACAGGAAAAGGAAGTTACTAAATAAAAATGTACAGAAAATAAAATGCATTAAGTAAAATACAAATAGTATCTGCATTGACTAAGTAAGACAGTGACTGATCTTAGCATTTTCAGTATGACACATTTTGGGGTAACTTGGATTTGATTTCTCATATTATAGCTACAGTTTTTGTTTTAAAAATTGCCCTCAATTAGTAATGACCTTTTTCTTGTTAAATAGGTACAACCATAATACATAAACCACATAAGGGAGTAATTAAATTTACCAAAAACAGCTGCTTCTAACAAGATACATACTAATGGCCTGATTTTTCCATAAGGTGCTGAGCATCTGCAATCTCCCGTTTATTTCAAAGGGCTTGTGGGGGGTCCTCAGCACTTAAAGATTAGGGTATACACCTCTACCCCGATGTAACGCTACCTGATATAAAACGAATTCTGATATAACGCGGTAAAGCAGCGCTCTGGGGGGGCAGGGCTGCGCACTCCGGCGGATCAAAGCAAGTTCGATATAACGCGGTTTCACCTATAACGCAGTAAGATTTTTTGGCTCCCAAGGACAGCGTTATATCGAGATAGAGGTGTAATTGTTTTATTATATTTTACAGTATTTCTGTACTTATTCCACACTGGTTATTCCATTTTGACCAAGATGATATGCTACAGAAAAGCTGGACAGTTTATTTACTGCTCTACCCCCAAACTCTTCCCTTCTCTGTAGTCTTGCATCTCAAACTCTCTTAATGTTTTATTTTGGACATCGAGCTGCCATCTCATCTTTTCCTGGGAAACCCTCTCTTCTCCTTCTTGATAGAAAATTTCACTATCCTGCCCACCAGCCAGGCTTGCAACTTTGGCATAATTTATTATGCGCTCTCCCCACAATGCACCTGTCACCAACTCCTGCTTGTTGTTCTTTTACAACTCAAATTAATGCTTTCCTGCAACCCTATTGTCAAAATCACTGTAATGCCCTGATTATCTCTTGCAAGGACGACTGCCAACCTGCTCCTCTCTGGAGTCCCTCCTTTACAGGCCATCCAAAAACTTACTGTGAAAATCATCTTTTTCTCCTGTTCAGACCATGTCCCTTCACTATTTAAATTATTTTACTGACTTCCACGTCGAGTTCCAGGTTCTGGTCCTAAGCTTCAAGGATCTGTACAACTCTACTCCCATCTACAACTCTACTTCACCGTTTTCATTTCTTGCTCTCTTCTTTGGTTCTGCTCAAGTAATTATTAGCCCCTTTCTCCCACTCTTGTTTTCACCATCTTCCATGATAACTTTTATGCTTAGAAGTCTTCCACTTATTTTGCAGTCCCAGGAAAGATTGTCTTGTCACTAAGATACTGAATCGGAATTCAGGATAGCTAAGTTCAATTCTTGGCTTTGCCACAGAATATCTGGGTGATGTTGGGAAAGCAACTTAAACTCTGTGCCCTAGTTCTCTATCTATAAAATAAGGATATACTTCCCTACCTCACAGAGATATTAGAAGGATAAATGTATTAATGTTTGTGAGACACTCAGATACTAATGCTGACAGGGAACCACAAAATCATGCAGCCAGATGGATTTGAATCCCGCCTTAAAAAATTTCCGTGAAGCCTTACAAATACAATAAGAATTAATTAAAAAAATAATTTCAAGTGAAAATTGAGAAAAAATGTAAAAGAATTGTTTTCCATCGAAAATGCACTCTAAGAGCGGTACTGCCCCATTACTAAGGTTACGATTTAGTCACGGATATTTTTAGTAAAAGTCATGGACACGTCACGGTCAATAAACAAAAAATTACTGCCCGGGGCCATGGGCTGCGGCTGCTCCGGCCAGCCACCCAGGAACCGCTGCCCAGAGCCACGGCTGCTCTGGCCGGCTGCCCAGGGACCGCTGCTGGGGCCGTCGGAGCAGCGGCTGGTGTGGCTGTCCCCAGAGGTCACCTGAGCAGCTGGTCCCGGAGCCAGCTGCTTGGGCAACCCTTGGGTCAGCCAAACTGGCCCCTGCAGAAGTCACGGTGGTCACAGAATCCGCAACCTCCGTGACAGGCACGGAGCCCTACCCATTACTAACTGCTGACATCTCCCTTTCCTTAAACTCCCCAAAAAATTATACACACTGTAATCTTGCCATTTTCATTGTCATTTTTTAAGTAATTTAGCTAGTAAGCACTTGAGAGTAACTTTATTTGCCTATAAAGCACTGTGCACGCTATTATACTATAACAACTTTAATACCAATGTTAGTAAACTGACGAGGAATGGGCATTTTGCATATCAAGGGCTAGTCTGTCAGTACAGAATCATAGAAATAGAGGACTGGAAGAGACCTTGACAGGTCATCTAGTCCATTCCCCTGCACTGATCTATTTTTAAAAACCTCCAATGACGGAGATTTCACAGCCTCACTAAGTAATTTGTTCCAGTGCCCTTACAGTTAGGAATTGTTTCCTAATGTCTAACCTAAATCTCCTTTGCTGCAAGTTAAGCCCATTACTTCTTGTCCTGTCCTCAGTGGATAAGGAGAACTTATCACCCTCCTCTTAATAACCAACTTCTATGTATTTGAAGACTGCTACCACATCCCCACACTCAGTCTTCTCTTCTCCAGACAAACCAAACCAAATTGTTGTCAATCTTTCCTCGTATGTCATGTTGTCTAGACCTTTAATCATTCTTGTTGCTCTCCTCTGGACTTTCTCCAAATTTGTCCACATCTTTCCCAAAGTGTGGTGCCCAGAGCTGGAGCAACACTCCAGCTGAGGCCTTATCAGAGCTGAGTAGAGTGAAAGAATTACTTCTCGGGTGTTGCTTACAACACTTCTACTAATACATCCCAGAATGATGTTCGCTTTTTTTGCAACAGTGTTACATTCTTGACTCATACTTAGTTTGTGATCCACTATAACCTCCAGGTCATTTCTGCCTTTCCTAGCCAGTCATTTCCCATTTTGTATTTGTGCAATTAATTATTTCTTCCTAAGTATAGTACTTTGCATTTGTCCTTATTGAATTTAATCCTATTTGTTTCAGATCATTTCTCCAGTTTGTCAAGATCATTTAGAATTCTAATCCTGTCCTCCAAAATGCTTGCAACCCCTCCCAGCTTGGTATCCTCTGCAAACTTTGTAAGTGTAAGCTCTATGCCATTATCCAAATCATTTTTGAAGATATTGAATAGAACCAAACCCAGGATAGATCCCTGCGGGACCCCACTCAATATGACCTTCCAGCTTGACAGTGAACCATTGATAACTGCTCTCTGAATACGCTTTTCCAACCACCTTATAGAAGGTTCATCTAGGCTATATTTCTACAATTTGTTTATGAGAAGGTCATGTAAGACAATATCAAAAACCTTGCTAAAGTTAAGATATCACACCCATTGCTTCCTCTTACCCTACCCAGAAGGTTTGTTACCCTGTCAAAGAATGATATTAGGTTGGTCTGACATGATTTGTTCTGACAAATCCATGTTGACTGTTACTTATCTTATTTTATTCTAGGTGCTTACAAACTCATTATTTGCTCCATTATCTTTCCATACAGAAGTCAAGCTGATGTCTATAATTTCCTGGTTTGTCCTTATTATCCTTTTTATAGCTAGGTACTATATTTGCCCCTTTCCGGTCCTCTGGGATCTCTCTGATCTTCTACAAGTTCTCAAAGATAACCACCGATGGCTCAGAGTTCTCCTCAGCCAGTTCCTTAAGTATTCTAGGATGTATTTCATCAGGCCCTGCCGACATGAACACATCTAACTTGTTTAAATTATTCTTAAGTTGTTTTTTTCCTGTTTTAGCCTCAGATCCTACCTCATTTACACTGATATTTGCTATGGTAGTCATCCAGTCACTGCTAATTTTACTGGGGAAAACTGAAACTGACCATTGCTGTTTCTCTTATCGTCATTCTCTCCCCATTTAGAAATATGCTTGAACCTTGTGAAAGGTTCTTTGTCTCTTTGGGCATTCTATTATGGCAATACTTGACATTGCTTGTAATAATATCAAGCTACTACAAATTTAAGATCATAGCTGCTAAAACTGCTTTCTAATCCAGGCATCTGGATTTTTCTAACAGATTTATTTGGGCATAAGCTTTTGTGGGTAAAAAACCTCACTTCTTCAGATGCATCTGAGGTTTTTTACCCATGAAAGCTTATGCCCAAATAAATCTGTTAGTCTTTAAGGTGCCACCGGACTCCTTGTTGTTTTTGTGGATACAGACTAACACGGCTACCCCGATACTGGATTTTTCTGTTACCATACTCCCCAGGCTACTGAAGCTCTAACAACTGAACTGAATGTTGCCTCTATCACTTCCATGTGAAATTGTAGAAAGGTGCATCAGGCACAGAAGAAGTGAGGCAGACTAAAGTTTCAGCTGAAAAGGTGAACTAAAATTAAAAGAATAGTGACAGCATGAAGTACAATACTTTAGCTCTTATAAAGATCAAATAAGTATTCTGGAGATTCTATTTTTTCAGAGAAATTTCCACTTACAAATTTTTGCTAGGAGCTATTGTACCTGTATTGATTTACTATAAATTTATGGTAGATTTAATTAGTTATAATGTTTTGATCTCGTCTGACAAATTTACTGTGACTAAAAGTACAGCATCTATGGATCACAAAATAAATAGGGAAGTAGCTTCAACCCAAATGTTGTCAGACTAGCATCATTCCTACAAAAAAGTTGTGTTTCAGAGATTAGTATCTAACTATCACAAAGTATACATTTAACAACACTGAGACAGTAAGCACTTGAAAAGACTAATGTAAGAATTATGTACAGCATATTCTATACCTTCAGAGAAGCATGTGATGCAAAAAAATCCTCCTCTTTTTGCTGGGGTGACACAGGCGGAATTCCACAGCCATCGATCCACAACTAGAAAAAAAAACATCTTATGATCAGAGCTTCAACTTCCATCTGAGATTACACAAATATATTTAAAAATTCTTCCAAATATATAGGACAAAAATGAAAGTTTTTTTTAAAAACTAAGACTTAAATTGATCATACGGACAATGCCAGATTCTTGACACAGCTTTGTGTCCCAGAGGCAACACATTTCATTTTCCACATTGTCTGCTGTCCCACTTCAATAACTGTCCAAGGCTGGTTCTCTTTTCCCACTTGTTACCTGAAGCAGCAGTGTTCTGAACCTTTTTAATAAAAACAAGAATTGAAAAAATGGTCTTTTAAGTGTTGATGTAGTACAGGGATCAGCAATCTTTGGCACGTGGCCCGCCAGGGGAAGAGGTGCGGGACGAGGGATGTGCTGGCCACCGCTTCCCGCAGCCCCCATTGGCCTGGAGTAGCGAACCGCGGCCAGTGGGAGCCGTGATCAGCCGAACCTGCGGACGCGGCAGGTAAACAAACAGGCCTGGCCCGCGTGCCAAAGGTTACCGATCCCTGATGTAGTGCTTGCAAAACCTGAAGTGCTCATTATAATGTAATGAAAATGTAGCATTTGATTGCGATTAACAAACATACTTTGAACTAAATAATAAAAATAGGTTTTAGAGTTTCAACAATTTGATTCGTATTCAACATTCCTTACATCACATACCTATTATATATGCCATAATTATATGTACAATTTTAAACTGAATTGTTCAAAAGTTCAAAGATACATTGTTTTCCTTAAAAAATTCAGAATCTCAAAAAATTATTGATCATGGTGCAGGTGTATCTATGCTATATGCAATTTAAAAAAGCCACCAAGTACCTTAAGTAGCAATCTAAGATGATTACAGGAAAGCATAAGGTAATGTTTAAAAAATAACTTTTCAGGCTAGCTACCTGCTGATTTTCCCAGATAAAATACATGGGGAGGGAGGTTGTTATTGTTGTTTTTTAAGCCCATTTGATTTTTAAATGAATCTTTCTTTTCCCACTGTGAAAAGCAGTTTCCCTCCAGACTGTTGAATTCTTCCTAGGAAAAATGCCTCACTGTGAACTTTGTGGGCAAATGTTGTTTGAACCGTTTAACAGCCCTGGAACTTGATCCGATAAGATAAAACCATTTTTTTTTTCAAATATCTCACAGCTATCTATGTTTTTCCCCCTAATATTCCTATTCTGCATCAGAGTATAACAATCAAAACACAAGACTGTTAGACGACAACTGGAAAAAGCCTTCCAAACTTTCTCAACATGGCTTAGCCCTACTTTGAAGGAATCCTCCCACTCACTCCCAAGAATAAGAGGGTGACAAAGTTTCCATCACTTTTAAGGGCTCAATTGGCACGGTACTGATATTTAACTCCCCATTGATTTTGAAAGAAGGCTGAAGGCTTTCGGCATGTTGCAGGACCTTGCAAGTCAGGGCTTTAATCCTTTGCCTGCACCCTGAGATAATTGATAAGAAAGTCATTTCTCATGGTAGTTTGAATTTTGTGGACTAGAAAACTAACATACTAGCAGTCTATTCCATAAAGGTCACCGAATAATAAGTTGGTAGTAACTTTACTTCTATACTAGCTTGAGCAGGATTTGAGCCAGTGACCCAGAGAAAGAAAGTTCCCATATCATTACCAAGCCCCAAAAGTATTTTTTAAAGTATGCATTTCATAACCCTTGCTGACCATCCCTTTTTGTACTATTTTCACCTGCTCTATTAACGGATAGGGGATCAACTCCAGAAGAAGCAAAATACATACACTTTACAAAAAAAATACTGACACTTTTTGCATTAAAGTTACATAAATTCATAAATATGTTAATCCATAACTACAATAATTGTAATTAAAAACAATAAAAATTACATCTTTTTAATGAAATCTGTAAGGTTTTTTCTAGCATTCATAACTATTAACACAGTAGTACTCATCTGATTAATCCAAAACTGTGTGACAATATTAGCTCACACTTGACTTTCTTAGCATTTCCCTCCCTCCGCAACTAACAAGATTAGTTTCACTACTTCACCTCCTAGCCCCACAGATTCACTGCAATTTGTATTTACTTAGCTACAAAAACAGACAAACATCACTCTACATTACATTTTGGCTACTGTTTAGAAATCTAAAATTACTTTGGAGCCAGGAAATCAATTATTTTATATTAAAATGAATGATCTAATGCAGGGGTCAGCAACGTTCGGCACGCGGCTAGCCAGGGTAAGCACCCTGGCGGGCTAGGCCAGTTTTATTTACCTGCTGACGCGGTAGGTTCGGCCGATCGCGGCCCCCACTGGCCGCGGTTCGCCGTCCCGGGCCAATGGGGGCGGCGAGAAGCGGCAGGTAAATAAAACTGACCCGGCCCTCCAGGGTGCTTACCCTGGCGAGCTGCGTGCTGAAAGTTGCTGACCCCGATCTAATGCATTACTTACATCAGTACCATGCTTCCTTGTTGCTTGTGTTGCAAGATATTTAATCTTTTCCCTGTAAAGTTGCGCACCACGACTATTGTACTTGGCATTGGTGTCATTTGTTATGCACCCATGTTGTTGGAAAAATGCAGACTATAAAAATAAACAAAAACATGCATATTATGAGAAACAGAATTAAACATTTGTGTGGTAGAACAAGGCAATTTTAAATGGTTAGATGCCAAATAATTTTATTTTAAAAATTACTAACATTTATATATTTTATTGGACCAGCTTCTGTTGGTAAGAGAGACAACAGAAGTTGGTCTAATAAAAGATATTACCTCAACCTCTTTGATTCTCTAATATCTTGGAACCAACATGGCTACATCATCACTACATGCAAAAATATTTAGTCCAAAGAAACAAGAAATTATAGGCCAGCTCTCATTACTTGTTTCTTTTACTGCCAAATCATGGAAAACCAAAAATCAAAACATGGAATTATTGATATAGTCTATTCATGAGATTATCTATGGGGATGTGACTCCATTTTAGACACAAGATTTATAAAAGAACCCCTACAGGACACCATGATTAAAAACCAAGCAAAATAATCACACAGTTATTAACCATGGCTATTTTATTATTAAAAAATGGAAAAGAAAATATTAAACAAAACAACCCAAATGATCAGAGATTGTAACTGAAGTAACCACTTTCTCTATGCCTCTCTGTGGAGAGCTTTTAGCAGAGATTACACCTTTGACAGTGCCATCTGTGGGTCATTCTTCATTTAGCCCTGGTCTACACTACAGGGTTAGGTCGAATTTAGCCACGTTAGGTCGATTTTATAATGAATACAAAAGCAACCCCGTTCCGTCGACCTAAAGGGCTCTTAAAATCGACTTCTGTACTCCTCCCCGGCGAGGGGAGTAGCACTAAAATCGACCTTGCTGGGTCAAATTTGGGGTAGTGCAGATGCAAATCAACATTATTTGCCTCCGGGAGCTATCCCAGAGTGCCCCAATGTGATCGCTCTGGACAGCACTTTCAACTCCGATGCACTAGCCAGGTACACAGGAAAAGCCCCAAGAACTTTTGAATTTCATTTCCTGTTTGGTCAGCGTGGTGAGCTCAGCAGCACAGGTGACCATGCAGCCCCCCAGAATCGCAAACAAGCTCCAGCATGGAGCAAACAGGAGACACTGGCTTTGATTGCTGTATGGGGGGAAGAATCTGTGCAGGCAGAACTCCGATCAAAAAGAAGAAATGCAAATATATATGCCAAAATTGCACAGAGCATGATGGACAGAGGCTACAACAAGGACACACAGCAGTGCCTCGTGTGTCAAGGAGCTCAGGCAAGCCTACCAAAAGACAAAGGAGGCAAACGGTCACGCTGGGTCAGAGCCCGATACATGCCGCTTCTATGATCAGCTGCATGGCATTCTGGGGGGGACTTTACCACTACCCCACCACTGTCCGTGGACACCTGCAAGGGGGGAGTCTCACGCAACACGGAGGATTTTGTGGATGATGAGGAGGAGGAGAATGTGCAGCAGGCAAGCGGTGAATCTGTTCTCCCCGGTAGCCAGGACCTTTTCATCACCCTGGAGCCAATACCCTCCCAAGGTGGGAGCCTCAACCCTGAAGGCGGAGAAGGCACCTCTGGTGAGTGCACATTTGTAACTAGAGTAGAGGGTTTAAAAGCAATAGTGTTTAATGTCTGATTTGCCCTGAAGACTTGGGATGCATTCGCAGCCAGTACAGCTACTGGAAAAGTCTGTTAACGTGTCTGGGGATGGAGCGGGAATCCTCCAGGGACATCTCCATGAAGCTCTCCTGGAGGTACTCTGAAAGCCTTTGCAGAAGGTTTCTGGGGAGGGCTGCCTTATTTCGTCCTCCACAGTAGAACACTTTACCACGCCAAGCCAGTAGCAAGTAGTCTGAAATCATTGCAGCACAAAGCATGGCAGCAAATGGTCCTGGGTTTTGGTCGCATTCAAGCAACATTCGGTCTATATCTTTCTGTGTTAGCCTCAGTAGAGTGATATCATTCATGGTCACCAGGTTGAAATAGGGGATTTTTTGTAAGGGAACAGTAAAAGGACCCCGTTCATGCTGGGCTGTTTGCGCTTGGCTAAAAGAGATCATCCCCGAGAATAGCCATGCAGAAGGGGGAAGGGATCGTCCCAAACAGCCACCCGGAGGGGGGAGGTGTGTGCTGCACATCCACCCGAAAACTGTAGCCCCTCCTTTTAAATGGCAAACCCAACCGGCATTGCTTGCTATGGGAAAGGAGGGTGCTGCAGTTTGAAAACATTCCCACATGTTGTGAAGGTGTTAGAAGCCAAACCCGCGTACCCTTTGGCTTACCATGGCGGCCTGGAAACTAAATTCTGTTGCCCAGTCATGTGTGCTGTGTCACCATACCGGCAGGCGCTCAATATAAAAGGCAAAATACGACCTTGTACCTAAAGCACATGTGCTGTCTGCTGTGAATTGCTTGATTCACTGTGAAAGAGTCTCCCTTTTGTTCTCAGAAATGTATCATCTTAAATTTTACTCTCCCTTTTTATCCCCCCGCAGGTGCAAATGTTTCTAGAAGGTGAAAAAAATGCACTCGCGATTACATGTTTTCTGAGCTCATGCAGTCCTCCCGCACTGATAGGGCACAGCTGAATGCATGGAGGCAATTAGTGGCAGAGTCCAGGAAAGCATTAAGTGAGCGCGATGAGAAGAGGCAGGATGCAATGCTGAGGCTAATGGGGGAGCAAACGGACATGCTCAGGCGTCTGGTGGAGCTGCAGGAAAGCCAACAAGAGCACAGACCACTGCTGCATCCACTGTACAACTGCCTGCCCTCCTCCCCAAGTTCCATATCCTCCCCACCCAGATGCCCAAGAACGCAGGGGCGGAGGCTCCGGGCACCCAGCCACTCGACTCCAGAGGATGGCCCAAGCAACAGAAGGTTGTCATTCAAACAGTTTTGATTTGTACTGTGGCTACAATAAGCAATGTGGCCTTGTGCTTCCCCAGACTAGCTTATCAGTTCTCCCTTTTTTTTTAATTAATGTAGAAAGAATGCATGGTTTCAAAACAATAATGACTTTATTTCCTTTGCCAGCTGTGATCGAAGGGGAGAGGGTGGTTGGTTTACAGGGAATTAAAATCAACAAAGGGGGTGGGTTTGCATCAAGTAGAAAAACACACAACTGTCACACCGTAGCCTGGCAAGTCATGAAACTGGTTTTCAAAGCCTCTCTGATGCACAGCGCGCCTAGCTGTGCTCTTCTAATCGCCCTGGTTCTGGCTGTTCAAAATTGGCAGCCAGGCGATTTGCCTCAACCTTCCACCCCGCCATAAATGTCTCCCCCTTACTCTCACAGATATTATGGAGCACACAGCAAGCAGCAACAACAATGGAATATTGGTTGCGCTGAGGCCTAACCTATTCAGCAAACAGTACCAGCGAGCTTTTAAACGTCCAAAGGCACATTCTACCAACATTCTGCACTTGCTCAGCCTATAGTTGAACTGCTCCTTACTACTGTCCAGGTTGCCTGTATATAGCTTCATGAGCCATGGGAGCAAGGGGTAGGCTGGGTCTCCAAGCATAACTATTGGCATTTCAACATCCCCAACGGCTCTGGCTTTTTGGCCGCCCAAAAAAAAAAAAAAAAAAAAAAAAAACCTGCGGCACGGCTGGAGCGCGGGTGCAGGGGGACCAGCTGGGGGGAAGGGGGAGAGAGCGGGCGGGAGAGAGAGAGAAGGGGGCGGCCAGGGCTACAGCAGGGGCGCTGCCACGCGGCCCCTCCCGCTGCGCCGCTTCCTGCCGCCTGCCACGAGGGCTCCGCTCCGGTCGGCGGGGAGGGAAGGAAGAGGACTGCCCTGCAGGGCGCTCTGGTTCTCCGCACCGCCGCCCCCTACAGGGCGACCAGAGTGGAACAAGAACAACAACAACAAAAAAGCAGCCGTGCCGCCCTAGGATTGGGCAGAATGCCGCCTCCAACAATCTGCCGCCCCAAGCACCAGCTTGCTCAGCTGGTGCCTGGAGCCGGCCCTGTGTGGGGCCCCCTTGTGATTTTCTGCCCCTTCACCAACGCTTTACAACACATGGCTGTAATTTAGGTGGCAGGGGTCAGCACTGACCTCAGAAACTGCAAGCCTCAGGTGCTGGAAAGCAGCAGCAGCAATGGTGGGAGAAGGAAAATGTTGTGGTGGCCACCCGCCACTGCAAACAAACACACACACACACACACACACACACACACCCCTGTGCTGCCTCTGCCAAGGCGTGCAGTTTGGGAGAGGGAACACTGGTCTCCAACCTCCAGACAATGCCCATGTTACAAAGGGGAGGTGGCATGGCCCCCTGCCCACCTCTGGTCCCGCCATGGGTTGCCTACCCAATGCTGCAGATGGTGCAGTGCCCCTACCCGCAGGCCATACTCACCGTGGCTGGGACAGCAAAACAGTTCAATTAATACCTTGTAGAAATGAAAATGTTCAGCTTTACACTTGTGTGGATTCAGGGAAGTGATTTTTATATAGCAACTCTGCACTAGACCCTGGGTCTGCAAGGACAGTGGGTTCCTCTCTGCTTTGCATGGTTTACAGCTGAAAGTTTGGCATTCAGCTCTTCCTCCACACTGGCAGAGAGGCTCTCCCACATAAGATGAAGGCAAAAGAGGATGTGTGATGACATGTTTAATGAGATAATGAACGCCTCTGGGACAGTGGACACCGAACAGAGGACGTGGAGTATTCCGCTCTCTGAAAATCTGGACATAGACATTACGAGCAGGAGAGCAGCCCATGAGAATGAGTATGGCACTCAGCAGGAGATGCTGGGTATTCTGTAGAAACAGACAGACACGTAGAGGCATCTTGTTGACCTTCAAGAGAAACACCTGGAGTCTCGACTCCCTCTGCAGCCCCTGCAGAATAGCATTCCAACATCTCTGTACTCCCCGTTCCCCCCTCACACAGGTTCCAGTAGGCAAGGGGGGCCAATGCAATATCCCTTCCACTCAACCCCAGGGGAGGGTGCCAAGAATAACAGCCACATACACTGATGTATGACAGGCAAGGCCGCTGAGCTTTTAAAGATAAGATTAATATGTTTTCCCTCTCCCAATTTTGTTCCACCATCTTTCCCAGATTTAACTCTTTGTTAATCTTTCAGTGTCTATATGTGACGGTCAGTGACTAACCCTCTTGCAGTAAACTAAGAGGGGAGGTGTGACGCTCTGTACCTCGGGGGAACCCCCAGAACCCCCATGTTCATCCTTGTAAAATGATTGCGTGGTATCCAATGCAAAGTTTGTCATGTTGGGTGACTTCGGAAGGTTCATGATACACTGAGCATTGTTGTTATAGGTTATAATTTCATGTATATAGTTATTAGGCTGAAAATGTATCCTCTTGGCTTAAAATAAGCCCAGGAAAAAACTCTCCAAGAGCAGAGAGGCAGTTCACAACTCAGCAGGGCATGTATGGGACAAACCCAGCCCAGCCTCACAGGAACAAAGGTCGCTGGCCTAGGCAGCAACAAAAGAATTTGTTAGACTCTCGAGGGAGTCACCCCCCTTCCTTTGATCAGTTTGGAACCGCGATGAGGTAATGCTCACCTGACTATGGGGGGAGGGGAGCCAAGAGGGAAGAAAGGACATGATAAAAGGGGGAGACATTTGCCATGCTCTCCCTCTCTCTCTCTTCCACCTGCATCTACAGACACCACACCAAGTGACTGAAGCACTGATCAAAGGGGAGAGCCTGGCTGAAGGGCAACCAGCCAGTCTGTGGTGAGAAGAAGCATCTAAGTTTGTAAGGACACTGAAAGTGTTAAGATAAGCTTAGAATGCGTTTTGCTTTTATTTCATTTGACCAAATCTAACTTGTTTTGTTTTGACTTATAATCACTTAAAATTTATCTTTATAGTTAATAAATCTGTTTGTTTATTCTATCTGAAGCAGTGTGTTTGGTTTGAAGCATGTCAGAGTCTCCCCGTGGGATAACAAGCCTGGTGCATATCAATTTCTTTGCTAAATTGATTAACTAATATAAGCTTGCAGCGTCCAGCGGGCATAACTGGACACTGCAAGACGGAGGTTCCTAGGGTTGTGTCCGGGACCAGAGATATTGGCTAGTGTCATTTAGTTGCATCATCCAAGGAGCATCTTACATGCTAGAGGCTGTGCGTGAACAGCCCAGGAGTGGGGGGTCTCACAGCAGAGCAGGGTAAGGCTGGCTCCCAGAATCAAGGATTGGAGTGACCTAGCAGATCACCGGTCCAGATACCACAAGAGGGGAACGTCACACTATATCTGTGTGCAATAAAAGCAGGGCTTTGGAGCTGTGCTCTGGCTCCGCTCCAGCTCCAGGCAAAAACCTGCAGCTCCACTGCTCCAGCTCCAGGCTCTGCTCCAAAGCCCTGAATAAAAGTCCATGTCTTGAAAACAAAATCATCTTTATTAATTCGAAGCATGGGGGAGGAGAGAAGAGATGGGTCAGGGAAACTGAGGCACTAGGGTGGGAGATGTGCACGAGAAAGAAAAACAGCGGTCACAGCAGGGTTCAGACTATGGATAGGCACAATATAGAAAAGCAGGACACATTACTGTGGGTCATTACTAAAATGGGTTTCCAAAGCCTCCCTGAGACACATTGCTCCACGCTGAGCTCTTCTTATAGACCTGATATCTGGCTACTCAAAATTAGCAGACAGCCTATCCACCTCCAGGCCCCATCCCTGTGGAGTGGAGCAGGGACGGGAAGAGGCGGGCCTGGAGCATCCCCCTGCAAAATCAGCGCCTGTTCTTCTCCAGGGAAGCTGCCGCTGCAGCAGTGCTTCCTAGCGTCCTTGACTGCAGCGGACTGTGCCTGTGTGGGGTAAGCCAGGGGCACTTCCCAACAACAATACAGTACAGTACTGTACAGTATATAATGCCTTTTGTCTGCCCAAAAACAATTTCCCTGGAGCCTAACCCCCCGCATTTACATTAAATCTTATGGGAAAACTGGATTTGTTTAATATTGTTTCACTTAAAGTCACATTTTTCAGAAACATAACTACAACGTTAAGTGAGGTGCTACTGTATAGCTGAAGGCTGGATACAGAGTGTAACAGTTTCTAGAAAGGCTAACAAATCCAGCGACTGTGCTTCAGTCTTAATTGTAATAGGCTCTAAGCCCAAGATTTTCAAAACTGTGTGCCTAAAGTTAGACTCCTAAATACATATTTAAATGTCCAAATAAACTGCCAGTGATTTTAATGGAAACTTCTGGGTGCTCAGCACTATGAAAAACCTGGCCATTTATTCAGGCCTCTAAATATACAGTTACAAGCGTGACTTTAGGCACACAGTTTTGAAAATCTCAGCCTTAGTTACAAGAGAAAGCTATTCTGGGAAGAAGAAGAACCTCAGAAGACTATACTGATTTTCTAACTACCTTAGATATTTCTAGGGAGCTAATCACTGTGGTAGCTGAGGTTCAAGATTAAATTGCAACTACAGTAAAGAAATAGCAAAAATTAATAATATTCCGAAACAGGAGTTAGTAAAAAACAAAATTCATATGAAATAGATGACAATGCAATTTAACAGAATTTGAGTGCAACTATTACAGAAACCAAGTTACCTGGAAAATTTTTAGTTCATTAGCTATGGTATCGCAAATTTCAGACGGTAACTCATATTAGATCATTAATTTACAAGGGCCCCGTTGGTACCAACTGAATTGCATACAAGAATTCTTACTGTGTATTAGATGACAAAACACAAATTTTGAAGAGATATATTTTAGTATTTTCCCTTCACTATATCTGTATTCATTTAACTTTAAAAACTGAGCTTTGGCCAACAAAAAAAGCACATAGAAGAAAAAGTAAAAACTAACCTAATTATTTTGGGTATTTGCCATTTCTTTAAAAAAGACCTGCATTTTTGTCTTTTGATTTTCTTAGAATATTAGGATAGAAAATAACCAATAACATTTCATGCTTGTGTAATCTTTGAGCAGAGCAGATTCTTCCCTTCACTAAGGCCAAAACACATGGAAAATTCAAAGTAACTTATTGTATTTTGCTAGAATTCTAAGAGAGAGACACATTTATTGGTCTTATGCCTTTGAAGTCTGTGCAAATCTCTTGAAACAGCACACACATTTGTCATGACCCCATTTCCATATAAACTAGTTTCTTCCCTACAGGATGTATAAAGTTTTAGGAGTGCAGCTGTTAATTCATTATTTTAACTTGAAACACACAAAAAATACACAAATATTCTAGGGGGCTGTGGAGTTAACTCCTTCATCCCTGAATTCTTCACTAACACATGAAATGAGCAATAAAGCTAAGTGTGAAGCTGTTAAACATAAAAAGCAAATACTTGAAATAAGAAAAACCTTTCTAATATACTTACGGCATTAGCATTTCCTCCTATTTGCATGCATCTCAACTGAAACCAAGACCAGTTGGAATCTAATTCCGTAGATCTAAGCAGAGGAAACATTTTAAATGTTATTTTCAAAAACAATTTTAAATACATCTTTTAAAAGTTGTTTTAAGAAAAACTAGAAGTTTGTAATAAATATTACAGTTCAAAACTTGTATTATTGTACACAAAACCCCTACACTAACTCAAGGCATGTCAACACTACAAACTTAAGTTAAGTTGACATACAGCCACTGCAGTAATTACTGCAGTTTTTCACGTCCACACTACCTTCCTTCTGTCGGTGGTGCGCGTCCTCACCAGGAGCACTTGCACCGACTTCAGAGGGGAAGTGGAGTTATTAGGTTGGTGCAGTATGGAATAACTTGTAGGCATGGGGATCCAGTACTGTTTTACTGAGGACAAAATTAAAGGGTCTACTCAGGACAGTCCCAAGAATCGAAGTACCTTTTGGGCTGTCCATAAAACTCATGCATAGCCTTAGGTAAGGCAAGGTTAGCAAAGAATTTCTCCCAGGACTCTAATTAACTCTTCAGTGTCTAAGGTCTAGTCTACACTAAAAAATATTTAATAGCATAGCTGCACCTGCAAACTCCCCTAGTGTAAGATGCAGCTTATACAGGCAAAAGAGTGCTCTCGCTAGCATAGCTTACACCAGTTGACTGAACGAAATAAGCTATATCAGTAAAAGAACTTTTTTGCTCCTATAATTGCATCTACACAAAGGCTTTAGCTGGTATAAAAATGTTTAAAATAAAAAAAACAAAAATAAAAAAATCACACTTCTAACCACTTTTATTATATCAGCAAAAGTTTTAAGTGTAGACCTAGGCTATGTGAATAGGGAAAGCTACATTAGGCTTCTGCCTGGGTTTAAAGTTTTTCCAATTACAAAAGTCAAAAAAGAAAATGAAAACTGCAGGCAATATGGTGGAGGTCCTGACACAATAAAACTCCCTTTCCAAATATTTACATTTGTGCCTATGTATGAGAATATAACACTTTGACAATCTCATTCCTGCAAAGATAATCACCTAGGCTAGGTCTACACTACAGCGAACTTCCGACCTAAGATACGCAACTTCAGCTACGTGAATACCGTAGCTGAAGTTGCGTATTTTAAGTCGGCTTACCTGGCGGTGAGGACGCGGGAAAGTCGACCGCTGCCGCGCTGCCGCCGACTCCGCTACCGCCTCTTGTCGAGGTGGAGTTCCGGAGTCGACGGTAGAGCCATCAGGGATCGATTTTACCGCGTCCTCACGAGACGCGGTAAGTCGATCCCCGATAAACCGATTGCTACCCGCCGGATCGGCGGGTAGTGAAGACGTAGCCCTAGTTTTTGTGAAGGTTCCTTCAATATTCAAAGGCAGGGAAAATGACACCTGTTACCAATTTTCCACATTTTTCATTTTATCAGGGAAAGCAAGTATCATCTCACCTGCTACCACAATGAAGAGACTATGGTGCCATATTTCACTATTACAGGTTTAAAGACAGAGGCATACCCTCCTTTTAAACATTTCTGATGCATGTACCCATGAAAGAATACTCAGTACCTTGTAACACAAAGCTAAAGATGGCAAACAACCTTTACACAATGCTGCAGAAATCTGGCTCAATCTTGATATGGAAGAACCATAAAGATGAGAGAATTAAGTTCAATTTCACGCCTGTTCAAATCTTCATTTTCTGCAAGGAAGTTTGAACAAGGCTGCCAACAAGGGACTTAATTATCTTTGTACCACAGCTTGTGCAATGTGAACACGTGCACAATAGGAACTCTACTGAGACTCTCTCCTCTCTCATTTATCTAGTTCCCAAATACACAGCAGATAACTTGCAGCCAGTACTATCATGAGATGGATGTGAACCAGTAACTTAGAATGAAAAGCTCATTCCCTCATTAATAAGTGTCCACAATAAAAGCCTCTGAAGAACCACATAATGTCGTGACAGAAATACTGGAAACAAATCTTACCACTTATTTAGCATAGAATCATACTAACTACTTACCGAATGAAACTCAAGTGAACACCAAGTGATCGATGGGTCCCTGAGCAATCAATACAAAGAAAAACACCATATGTTATGCTTGCCCAGCTAGGATTTTTGGCTCCACAGTCAAAACACACCTAAAAAAGATAAATTAACAAATAAATTAATCAATTCCCACTAAAAGATACTTTTTGACTAATACCTATGTAGTGCTTAGCATTTTAAAATTAATCCCCAGACCACAGGTTGACTAGTTCATTTTATATTATCCCTACTTTATAGATGGGGAAACAAACTGAGGTTAAGCAACTTGCCCAACTCTCACAACTAATCTGGAGCACGCAGTATTAGACATCTGAAATTCCCGGCTCAATCCACTATCTTCTAAGGAACTCCTAAATTCAACATATTTAATGACAAAGTAGTAACTTCCACTCATACGAACACTTACTAATTCCATCTATTTAGAATGTAAGCAGCTACATAGATTAGAAGATACTTGGGACTGAGAATTTGTCTTCGTGCATACCTGCAGTGCATCTAGCACACTGCTGGCAACATACAAATAGATATATTATAGAATCTTAACATCATAATGTTCAATTTGTTCAAAATATTTGTGAAAAGTGTAACACACTTCCTCGCAATCAACTTATGCTATCAGCCATTTAGTTTTTATATTCTAAAGTTTTTGTGTTTAAAAGAGACAAGCGACATGCACATTTAAGAGAACTCATATCAAAATAGCCCAAGAATAAGTTTGTTATAACTCATTCTATATTACTAAAAACAACAAGTGTTTAAGGAATAGCATTTCAAGGACATTCCGGTAATAAATGATTCAGATAACATGTGTCTAATACCAACTGGGTCTATTCTCTTCTCAATGAGTTTATGTAGCATCAGTTAATATTGCTGGTAACAATGTCCCACATGCTTTCCTTTTCCCCTGTAGATGCAAAGCGGTCCTGACAGCAAAACCAGTATGGTAAGCATTCTTCCCATGTATTGCTTAACCCAGCTCTCTGTGGCTCCTAATGTGTCTGTTTGGGAATAGAGCCAGAGGATCTGTTACACTGATCCTCTGGTTCCCCATAACATAGAAATGAGCAGGCAGAAGTGCCACATAGCCACTCTTTTGCCTGAAGGAAGGATCCTTTGCATCCATTCAAGTTATGCAGGATTTGGGCCTGTGCATCTATTTTCAGGATCTGCATGGAAAAATTAGTTCAGTTTCATATTTCAGCTTTCATGTTTTGTTTCAGTAATCCTGACTTATTTTTTGGTGGCTGAGGGAAGTGAGCCCTCACACTCAACTTGATGGCATTTCTCTGTCTGTAACATAACTTTTGAACTTCAATTCTAAGATTATAGGGAATGTTCTAGGCATCAGTGGGCATAACTCTGTACAGATCTTGGTGAAAAACAGAAGAGGAATATGGGGCACAAACAGAGGCCTTTGCATCTGGTTAGCAAATGCAGCAGCTCCTACCACCTCAGGAGTATGTCTATAGATAAAGGACTGGTTAATGGCAGCCACAAACACATTCAGCATAATACCCCACACCTCAGCTCTGCCCATCCTTCCAACAGAGTTTACAGTAACACTACCTTGAATGACTTGTCTCCCAGACAGACCGTTGTAAGAATGGTGAAAGGAACATGGGGGATAGGGGTGTACAAAGAGCTCATTGCAAGGGAAGAATAATTGGGGTTACATTCTAAATAGATGGAATGAGTACGTGTTCGTATGAGTGGAAGTGACTGACATGGGGGGAAAAGGAGTACGCAGAGCCCCTAGCATGGACAGGAGGAGGAAATGGGGGAGGGGGGAGAGGAACTTAGAGCCCTTATTATAATGAGGAGAATGGGGGACAATGGTATGGAGGGAGGGGACCCTGGGAAAACACAGAGCTTCTGGCATGGTAGGAAAGGAGGGAAATGTGGAGGCACACAGAGTCCTTAGCATAGGGGGAATGTGGAGGCAAAAAAGCCCTTGGCATTATGGTAGGGGGAATGAGAGACAGGGAAAACACAGAGCCCCTGGCACGGTGGGAAAGGAGGTAATGAGGGGGCTGACATAGACCCTGGCTTTGGGGGAGGAGGGTTGCAGGGAGTCCCTGAAACAGAGGAAGATGGGATGGGAGACTAGCACACAGGAAGCTTGTGGGAGGAGTAAATGGGGGAACACAAAAAGCCCCTGATGTGTGCAATGCTCTCAGCCTTCAGAAGCAACAAAGTTTACAGATCTTTTTCCTTTAAAACATTTACTGCAAATAGACTAAGTCCTAATCTACACTTAAAAATTAGATCGACCTAGCTATGTTGCTCAGGGCTGTGAAAAGTTTCACACCCTGAGTGCCAAAGTTAGGTCAACCTAAGCCCTGCTGTAGAAGCAACTAACTAGACAGAAGAATTCTTCCCTCAACCTAGCTACAGTACTGCCTCTCGGAGAGACGGATTAACTACATCAGTGTAAAAATCCCTTCTGTTGATGTAGGAATTGTCTACTCTGCAGCACTATAGCAGCACAGCTGCAGCACTGTAGCTGTTCTGCTGTAGAGGCTGCAGTGCAGACATGCCCTTAATTATGCCACATTATAAAAAAATCTTGCTATCAGCACAGACTTAATGTCCAAAACTCATCTCCTCTTTTTTTTAATAATCCCAAATTATAATAAAAAATATTTTAAATATTAGCCTGGTCTTCCTTCCCTCTCCTCCCCCCCGCAATTTCTTCTAACTGAAGGAAAGAAAGTGTTCATACTCTTGGACTGAAGCTAATAAGATCAACCTGCTTGTTTCTAAACATGAGACACCAGAATATACTTACAGCTCTATTCTGGGTCCTAGACTCTAACAATCTACCCCAGTGAACATAGGAGAAAAATATCTGAATGTCAGGAAGTGGTTATGTTTAAACAACAAAGTGTTTAAAAAGTTCAACATAATAAGTAGTCCAAAATATTGCATTTTTCTATGTGATTTATAAACATTTGTTCTCTTATAGCTTTCTTGATTGCATCATCTTGTAAATTTGACTGCCACAGTGCAGTGAAGTTCAGTGTCTTTGCTGGTGCAGGATCTAGCTCTAAATGAACTGGCTATTTTACTGTGTCCTCTGTGAAAATTCACAGTATGAAATCACGCATCATTTGTAAATAGTTGGGTATACAGAAACAATGTATATACTACTTTCTGAAGTCTGCTATTTTGTAGACACTGCATCTTAGGTATTATGCACTGTGCACACCACTGTTGCAGAAGTAGAATTGTCCACCTCATTAAAACAATATTCACATTCATTTTACTCAGCATTCTGAACTCTTTTTTTATTCTCAACTTGCATGAACTGCGACAGGAAATTAATATAAATTTTAATTAGAACTAGCATTTCTGAAATAGTTTATGAAATCATTTCCACCTAAAAACAGAGCAGGGGTATTCCCTACACTGTTTTAGGTGCAGGTATTTGTCAATACCAGCAAGGAAAGCAGAATCCTGATCCTAAATTCTAGCAGGCAATTAAAGCAGAAAATCATTCGCAGTTACTTTATTTCGAGTTTTGCTTGTAATACTGTTTCTACTGCATTGATTTTGAATGTTAAAATATTTTTTAAAGGAAGCTTTTCTGTTCATCAACTTAATAGTCATTTTTGAAAAATCAAGCGTCAGCTAATTAGCATGTTTGCATCAGAGAACAGATAACTCAGATAAACTCTTTAGTGTCTTGCAACATGCATTTATTAAACCAGTACTCACACAGTACCATCTCTGTATATATAATGATATATACCACTACCAGATACGGAAATGCACTAAATATAGCCCTAAGAGATTTTGGTGAGTGTGGCACTTAAGGAGTTGAGCAGATTAACTGAATTCAGCACTGACCCCTCTGAGTAATGTCCTCTCTAGATATATTAATTTTAAAACAATACAATTAACTTATATATCAAACTACAGTGTTGATAAATAATCTATTTTGACTGTTACAAAACTTTTGCTCAGGCAATTAATTCTGATCTTTTAGTGAAGCATTGTCAATAGGCACTGTACTATACACAAAAATAAAGACAGCCCATGTTTAAAGAGATTAGTTATCCCCTAATTTATAGCATTGAACAATGACACAAAAATTACAAACACCAGCTGCTTTGATGTTTTTTTAATTTACTGACCTTTCAAAAATTATAGTCATATATTTAGCTGAAAGGATTACTTAATTATACAAAAATTTTAAGATTTAGGTCTACACTAGAAATCTTACAGCGGAACAGCTGTACCAATGCAGCTGCGCCACTAAGATCTCTCATGTGGCCGCTCTATGCCGACAGGAGAGAGCTCTCCCGTCGACATAATTAAACCACCCCCGAAGAGTGGCGGTAGCTATTCGCATTACGCACACTACCACTTATGCGGGCAAAATTTATGTTGCTCAGGGGAGTGTTTTTTCACACTCCTGAGTGACATAAGTGGTAGTGTAGACATGGCCTTACTAACTGAAGATAAAGGGTACTAGTGAAAAGTTCTAAGACTACAAAGAAACCTATCAAATATCTATAGGGTAGTTTCCTTCTATCCTTTTTGGTAAAAGGGAAAATTTTCAGTTCTCACCTCAGCATAGACACAACCATAAACCAGGTAGCAAGTCAGATTCCGTCTCAGCAGACTAGGGCCAGGTATCTACTACAATCTTTTGGCGGCATAGCTGTGTTGGTCAGGGGAATGATAAGATGTGATCTGTGACCAACATAACTGTCAGCAAAAGCCTCTAGTATAGATGCAGTTTTCCCAATACAGCTTATTTTGCTCGGGGGTGGGAGGGCTGTAATAAATTGTGTCAACAATACCCAAGTTCTTCCCAAATTGTATATTTTAACATTTACAGCAGCAGTACAGCCAAAGGACATTAGTAAAAAATATGAGAATACACAGCTTTTCCAAGTCTTGCGCTTCCTCCTCATGTCAGCAAAAAATGAACATGAAAGAAAGTATGGAAAGCGGGGGTGGGGGGAGGATAAGGAAATGCCTAGAAAAAGAGGACACAGGACAAGTTGTAACAAAAAAAATAAAAGAATAAATGAACAAAAATATGTTACCTTTGAAGACAAACATTATTCACTTCAACATACACATACACACGCACACAAAGATACAGGAAAGTTGTTTGGGACAATGAATTGTCTTTCTTCCTCCCCTCTCCCCCGTCTTCGCTCTGTCTTTGGAAGTGAATAAGATGCAATGTATGTCTTCCCTGCAAAGTTCACTTGAGATACTCCTCTTGAGTTAGCCTAACTTGAGTAATTGAAGCCATACTGGGAAAGAACATTTCAGCTGCTGCCCTCACTTTTGTGTGGCCCTAAGACTTCTACAGGCATATTTTTAAAAGTTCTTTGCACCAAAGTAAGCTGAGCTGCTCTATAAATTATTTCCCAATGGATTGAATTAGAACTTGTTTGTCCTTTCTGGGCACATGGGAGGAATTGAGGGTTGGCATTGGAGGACGAGCTGCATTTGAGTGGAACTAGTCTGCATCCACATAACAGAATAGTTGTGTTAGCAGCTAACAAATTGTGCTAATTCAAGCTTTAGTCTATGCCTGACAGACCAGCCAACCTGAGTTAAAAGCACCACTATATTCAAGTTGAGGAAGTGTGTGTGGATGGTACTTGAGTTATGGGGCAAGGCAGTAAAGACAGGGCTTCATGTTCCTCATTCGCATACCTGTTAAGAGTGAGAATTAGGCTAAAATGTTGGACCAGATAGGCCTCAACACATTACTACTGTTTCTCATATAAGATCAAAATCTTATTAGGCACTTACAAACAGTAACAAGATAGAATCCGTGCCCCAGACAGTTCCAGGATACATATATATTTAATTTTCACTGTATTTCAGTGTTTTTCAAAGTTCGGGTCGCAACTCAAAAGGCACTGGGTCGCCTTGCTCAGCGACCCAGCGGCTCTGGTCAGCAGCGCCGACTGAGACGTTAAAAGTCCAGTCGGCGGTGCTGCCCAACTAACACAAACTAGTGCCTACCTGCTCCGACACTGAGCTGCACCCTGGAAGCAGCCAGCAGTGGGTCCAATTTCTAGGCCAGGGGGCCACAGGGCTCAGCGCGCTGCCCCCGGTCTGAGCACCGGCTCCGCACTCCCATTGGCCGGTTATGGGAGCTGGGGGGTGGGGCAGTGCCTGTGGGCGAGAGCTGTGTGGAGCCACTCGCACGCCTCCGCCTAGGAGCCAGACCTGTTGCTGGCCGCTTCTGGGGCGCAGTGCAGTCTTCGGTGTCAGGACAGGTGGGAAGCCTGCCTCTGCACCTCGGCTCCGCCACTGACCAGGAGCTGCCGGAGGTAAGTCAGTCACACTATCAAATCCTAGCGTTTAAGGCCAAAAGGGACCACCAGGTCATCTAGTCTGACCACTTGTACATCACAGGTCACCAGCAACACCCAGTGTCTGCACATTAAATACAACCAAAATTAGACCAAAGTGTTACAACCCACATTAGACTAGACTATTAGGTGCCACAGGGAGAGATTAGGGGGGACCAAGGTGCACCAGTGCCAGAGGGCCCTGCAATGACAGGGAAATGATTGAGACATACCCAGATAATCCTGGCAAGTGACCTGCATCCTATGCTGCAGAGGAAGGTAAAAAAAGAACTCCAAGGTCAACTGCCAAGCTAGCCTGGGGGGAAATTCCTTCCCGACCCCACATGTGGTAATCACTTAGACCAGGGTTCAGCAACCTTTCAGAATGCATCCGAAGAAGTGGGTTGTAGCCCACGAAAGCTTATGCTCTAATAAATTTGTTAGTCTCTAAGGTGCCACAAGTACTCCTGTTCTTTTTGCAGATACAGACTAACACGGCTGCTACTCTGAAACCTTTCAGAAGTGGTGTGCCAAGTCTTCATTTATTCACTCTGATTTAAGGTTTCGCATGCCAGTAATACATTTTAACGTTTTTAGAAGGTCTCTTTCTATAAGTCTATAATATATAACTAAACTATTGTTGTATATATAAAGTAAATAAGGTTTTTAAAATGTTTAAGAAGCTTCATTTAAAATTAAATTAAAATGCAGAGCCCCCCCAGACCGGTGGCCAGGACCCAGGCAGTGTGAGTGCCACTGAAAATCAGCTTGCATGCCGCCTTTGGCACGCATGCCATAGGTTGCCTACCCCTGACTTAGACCTTAAGCATGTGAGTAAGAACCAGCCAGCCAAGAACCTGAGAGAGGGAGAGAAAGAGAGAGAGCATGCTCGGTGCCACCTCAGCGCTCTGATCCTCCCAGTCTAATGTCCCATCTGCAGCTGTGGCCATCCCTGATCCTTCAGAGGAAGGAGATTAAAAATATATATACAGTAGAACCTCAGAGTTACGAACCAGATTTATGAACTGACCAGTCAACCACACACCTCATTTGGAACCGGAAGTACACAATCAGGCAGCAGCAGAGACCAAAAATAAAGCAAATATGTAGTTTTAAACATAAACTACTAAAAAAAAATAAAGGGAACGTTTAAAAAATAGATTTGATAAGGTAAGGAAACTGTTTCTGTGCTTGTTTCATTTAAATTAAGATGGTTAAAAGCAGCATTTTTCTTGTGCATAGTAAAGTTTCAAAGCTGTATTAAGTCAATATTCAGTTGTAAACTTTTGAGAGAACAACCATAACGTTTTGTTACAAACATTACAGAGTTAGGAACAACCTCCATTCCCGAAGTGTTCGTAACTCTGAGGTTCTACTGTACGTACGCACACATTAAATTGGGGGAGGCCAGGGATATCCTTTTTGACACCGACCAGAGGCTGACTGAAACCTTGAAGCATGAGCTTTAGGAACATAAGACACAAACCGGAAGTGAAGCCTCCCCCCATCAGAAGCAACCCCATCACACAATCCAATTGATTATTGTCCAGCTCCCACTTAAAACTAATCTAATTGTTTGCCCCCCCACTACTCCCTTCAGGAGGCTGTTCCAGAACCTCACTCCTCTGGTGGTCAGAAACCTTTTTCTAACGTCCAACCTGAATTTGTTCATGGCTAATTTACACTCATTTGTTGTGCCAACATCATCCTTGAGCTTATACAGCTCTTCACCCTCCCTAGTGTTTCCCCTGTAGAAAGCAACCATAGGCCCCCCACCGCCGTTGCCAGACTAAACAAAAGGCTGTTCCTCTGTTATGACAGACCCCCCCACACACACAGACAGTTCTTGCAAGCGCTGCCCATAGCGGGTAGGGGGAAGCACTGGTGGGTCCGTGGGCCCTCCCATGGCTCCCTTGGCGCGTCAGCGTTAGGGGGGAGAGTGGCCCCCCAGGATCCCATTGGCCAGTTACAGCGGGGGGGGGGAGGGGAATCCGCTGGCACCGCCCCCTCCAGCTCCCAACAGTGCGACGTGTCACTAACAAAGTTCAGCTCCCGCCGCCCCCAGCGCCGGCTCCCGCCCAACCGCTGCCCCGTTACCTTGTTGGTGGGGACGGCGCGGAGCCGTTTGAAGATGGCGACAATGTCCTGCTTGCGGGGCTCGCACATGGCCACGCCGTGCAGGGGACCGCTCGCGGCGGCAGCGGCCACAGGGCAGGGAAGCGAAGGAGCCGGCCGCCCTCACACGCAGCACAGACGGATGGGGCGGGCGCTGACCGGGCCGGCCCGCGAGGGGCGGGGCCTGGGCGCGTGAGCGAGGGGCGGGGCGGGTCGATGCGGGAAGCCGCCGTCCACGTTCCTGTTCGGTCGGGGACGGGAGTTGCGCGCGCGCGCGCGCCTCGCCCCGTTCCAAGCTGCCGCTAACCGCCGCTTTGCCCTGCGGCCGAGCCAGGGGGCTTTGGGCTACAGCACGGGACTATGGGGCAGAGGGAGATGCACCGCCCCCTCCTCCCCCCAAACCCGGGGAGCTTCCCGGGGGAGGCTGAGAGGCAGGGCCGGCTTTAGGGAGTGCGGGGCCCCGCAGGGCTGACTAATAACAACAACAAAACGTAAAAAAAAGCCTTTCATTTCTTCCATGTCTTATTTACTGTCCATAACTATATAAATAATAAAATTATATATTATGTACATTGCGTCATGTGCTGTTGATCAGTTATTAATGAGCTCCATTTCACATGTGTGGGTCCCCGCCACGCCCTGGGGTGTGCTAGGGTGACCACGTCCCGATTTTATAGGGACAGTCTCGATTTTTGGGTCTTTTTCTTATATAGACTCCTATTACCCCTCACCCCTGTCCCGATTTTTCACACTTGCTGTCTGGTCACTCTAGACTGGTGTGCACATGTGTGGGTCCCAGCTGCTCCCTGCCCCCCTCATTGAAGCAGGTGTGCAGGGTTACTGCCCTGGGAACTGCAGGGCACCAGTGGACATGGGGCTGGCTGGAGGTAGGGGCTGGCTGCAGGCAGGGCAAGGGGTGCGGGGCTGGCTGGAGCCAGGCAGGTGTGGGGCGGGCTGGCTACCTTCAGGCAGGACCACGGGGGGGTGTGGCATGGGTTGGCAGGGTTGGAGACAGAAGAGTGCGGGACTGGCTGGCTTCAGGCAGGGGGGTGCGGCAGGGGTTGGCTGGAGATAGGGCAGGGGGTGCGGGACTGGTGTGGGCAGGACAGGGGGTGCGGGACTGGTGTGGGCAGGGGTGTGGGTGGGGCTGGCTGGCTTCAGGTAGGGCCGCAGGGGAGTGTGGCAGGGGTTGGCTGGAGACAGGGCAGAGGGGGCAGCAGGAGCTGGCTGTGGGCAGCGGGTGCAGGACTGGCTGCAGGCAGGGGGTGCGGGGCTGGAGGCAGGGCAGGGAGTGCAGCAGAGGCAGCTGGATCTCCGGCCCTTTAAATAGGCCCCAAGCCCCCCGCTATCCCAGGGCTCCGACGGCTATTTAAAGGACCGGGGCGACAGAGGCAGCTGGAGCCCCGGACTTTTTAAAAACCCCCAGAGCCCCGCAGCCCTATCCCAGGGCTCCAGCAGTGGGGCTCTGGTGGCAATTTAAAGGGCCTGGGACTCCAGCCCCTGCTGGGAGCCTTAGGCCCTTTAAATTGCCCCCGGGGGAAGCCGGGCCACCCCGGTACGGCGCACTGGCTCTTGCCGGTACGCCATACCAGGGCTTGAGCACGGGGCCCTCTTAGGTGCGGGGCCCAATTCAGGAGAATTGGTTGAATCAGCCTAAAGCCGGCCCTGCTGAGAGGCCTCAGCCGGAGCCCACTGTGGCAGCCGTGCCACACCCCGCCTGGCCCATCATGTTTCCCGAGGGCTTTACAGCCGTTCCTGTCCGCTGCGCCCCGCTCGCCTTCACTTTGTGCTCGTAGTCCCCACCCAGGCCCAAACCAGCCATAACAGCGCTCGTAGCTGGAGGCCAGGCGTCAGGAGCCCACCCTGCAGCCGCTGACTGTGGTTGGACAAGTCACTTCATCTCAGGCTGCTTCCGTTACTGGACCATTGCAAAGCGATCATCACACTCCGCAAAGCCTCACCCCCCTGCAGCCCGGCCCCAGCCACGGCTTTCACATTAAACACACACCTTGTCAGGAAACGCCCATGTCATTGAGCACACACCACCCACTGGAAAAATGTTCTCATCACTCATCATCAGAATTTACAGATAGACAAAGAAAAAAATGCTGGTTGAAACTAGTAAGGTTTGATTTAGGGCTATTTACTTCGTATATTTTACATAATGGTGATTTCCCCCCTACCCCTCACTTAATTTCCCACAACTATGAAAATTTAAATTGATCAAAATTATTTTAAAAATTGAATTCTGCCCAGCCTGATTATCTATGATGACTCAGTTGAAGAGGTCCCAAACAGCAGGGGCAGTGTGATAAATCTGATGCTGCTCAGAAAGAGGATAGTACCAAGGCTGTGCAGGGCCAGATTAATTTTTTCTGGGCCTGGCGCCAAACTTATTTGTGGGCCCCCCTGGGGAATTATTGTAAAAGGGGCCAGGGGCAAAAGCACAGTGGGGCAAGAGCTAGGGTTGGTCCCTGGAGCAAGGGAGGGGCCAGGGGTAAACTGCAAGTGCAGCAGGGCTGGGGAGGGGGTAAACAGGATCGCCCCTGCCCACATAAAGCAGGTACATACCTGGTTCTAGCCCAGGGGTGGGCAAACTTTTTGGCCTGAGGGCCACATCTGGGTATGGAAATGTATGGCAGGCCATGAAGGCTCACGAAATTAACAATTCTGAGATATTCAAATAAACTCTATTTAATAAAGATACATTTTAGTGGCAATAAACATAAAACCTTACTTACTATTATAAATATACCATCATAACAACGGATTACAATAATTAAACCAAACTTAACCCCTTTCCACGCCCTCTCTGATTAATGTGAACAATGCAGCTGGTCACCCTTTTTTACAATGGCATCAAAGTCCGGTATCATTCTAGTTGTGGAAATCCGCAATATAGAGCTGAGATGCTGGTCAGTTAACTGGGATCTGTAGCGAGATTTGTTGTACTTCAGCAAGGAAAATGTTTGTTTGTACACACAGGTGTAGCCGAACAAAATAAAGATTTTCTGTGCCACCTTGTGGATATTTGGGAACTTTGTTTCACTCAAGGAGGCATAAAACTCATCCAGTTTTTCTGAATTGTACTTTTCCTTCAAGGTGGAATCGCACTGGAGATCAATGAGCTCCAGTTGTAATTCTTGTGGGGCTTTCTTGTAGTCAAATGACAGTGGGCATGACACCAGCTCCAGTGTCTTCTCTATCTTCTCTAAGTCAGAGAACCAATGAGAAAATTCTCCGTGCAAGTCACTCAACATTTTGCTGTACTTTTCTCTCTGCTCTGGTGACACTTCCGAGTATTTCACTATTGGAAAGTCAGCAAACACTTTGTCCTTAATTTGTTTTGAAAACAAGACTAACTTGGCTTTGAAAGCTGTCACACAAGAATGTAATTTGTGTACAAACACATTCTTTCCTTGCAGGTTTACATTAAGTTCATTTCAATGTGCCAAGACATCCACACCAAAAGCGAGGTCGCACACCCAGTTTGAATTCTTTAATTCAGGGAAATCATTTTCTTTCCCCTGCATCTCCAGAAAAGTGCGAATTTCATCTCTGAGCTCCCACACTCACTGCAATACCTTTCCTAGGCTGAGCCAGTGGACATTTGTATGATAAAGTAAGTCCTGGTGTTTGGTGTCAGTGTCTTCAAGAAGGGAAATTAATTGCCGATGATTAATTATCGCCCCTTGCTCTTATGTAGTTCACTATTTTCACTACTGTGAGAATATGATCCATGTCAGTGACATTTTTGCAGAGGGCCTCCTGATGTATAATACAATGCAGAAAAATCACCTCTTTATCAGGATCATCTTCTTTTACTTTGTCCTAAATTCTTTTTAAAAGTCCTACGTTTTTCCCAGTTAAATTTGGTGATCCATTTGTGGTTACGTTTGCCAGTTTACTCCAGGGGAGCTTCAGATGTTCAAGGCACCCAGACACCCTCTCGTATAAGTCTGATCCCTTAGTTGTGCCTTTCATTGATTCCATTGATAAAAATTCCTCTGTGGTTTCAAATTTGTCGTCAATTCCTCTGACAAAAATCAGTAACTGTGCTGTGTCCTTAATGTCAGTGCTATCATCGAGAGCTAATGAAAACAATGTAAAGCCCTGTGCTTTCTTGTTCAACTCAGAAGCCAAATGTTCATTAATCACTTCTACATGGCGAGTAACAGTTCTTCATGACAAACTAATATTCTCAAATTTGATTTGGTATTCCGGGCACAGCATGCCAGAAACATCAACCATGCATTTCTTCAAAAACTCCCCTTCAGCAAAAGGCTTATTTTGTTTAGCAATTTTAAACACCAGAACATAACTTGCCTTTGTAGTGGCTTCCTGAACTGCAGCTTGTCACACACAAATATTTTACTGAGTTTTTAAGTTCATGGTGAGTTTCTCAGCTTTTCTTTCCCTTTCCTCAGTTGCTAGCTGCCATAATTAGGATGTTTCTTGAAAAATGGTGATTCAAATTGTACTCGCTGAATACCGCGATGTTCTCCTGACAAATAAGGCATACAGCCTTCGAGTTCATGTTTGTGAAAAAATATTTTGCATTCCATTCTTTGTTGAAAACCCAACACTCACTGTCCACTTTTTTTTTTTTTTCCAGCACTCATTTTTGAAAGGGAAAAGAAAATCCTAACTGCTGTCCTTATTTCAAACTGCTGTTTTACAAGATGGCACACACTGTGAAAAAACTGGGCCCTCTCTCTAGCCTGGATTTGTCAGGTGTCAGTGCCCCTGACAATTTTGAGCCATGGCACTGTATCCCAGAACCCATGTGGACAAGAAGAGGCAGGTGTAAATTCACCTGTAACTTTATGTCCTAGCCTCCCCCGAAAAATGTTCTTACTGTTGTACTTTGAGTTCTGTTTGCACTGTTGTGTTCATTAAAAGTTTGTATGTAGTAAGGGATGTTACCACGGTGTGGTGAGAGGACTCATGAGGTGTGGCGCATGGGGGCTCCACGGGGTGGTACCAGGGACTCCTAGGGGCCCTGCAGGCAGTGTGACACCAAGGCAGCTGTGCCACATGCGGAGGTACCCGAGCTAGAACGGGAGCAGCTGCGGTCCCAGGGCAGTTTCCCTCCACTCGAGGCTCTCAAGGGTCGGGCCATAGGAAACT